TTGAAACAAAGGACCCGCATGGTGTGGTGGTGAACGCGTTACTCCCCGGAAAGGACAATAGCGCGTTCGTTCCCCACCATAGACACCTGCGGTCCAGAGTTTTGCAAATATCTCAGCAACGTTGTGGTTGTATTTCGCTTAGTACCCTGCCGCGAAATTATAGTAGGCAGAAAATAAAAAGGTATAAAATCTAAAAGTTGTCATCTGAATTGTAACAACGGAACAGAGGTTCCAAAATCAGTCGTGTGCAAAAACTCCAGAATTCAAAGAAGAAATTTCGAAAGCTAAGCATCTTTTCTAGTAGTATGTTTTGGTGAGCGTAAGCATCATTTCTGGTAGCACACTTTAGTAAGAACTATGAAACATTAATTAAACCTTTTGTTTATGTTCTTATAGACCTTACGTCTCGTGAATGTAGAACAACGGCAATACAGACTGTGGTTTAGTTAGCGCTAGGAGTAGAGGTGTTAGGCGTTTATTTCAGAAGATCAATGAGCTTTAAAGTACTCGAAGCCAGAACCTTTTCCTAAGTTCAGATTTATGGTTCTGTATTATAGTCTAAATTGCTTTGTGTGAATTATAAGAAAACTCCAAGGCACAGAGTTTCTTGGTTAGATGAAACCGTAGTAATTTTAATTAAAAGTCTGTTGAAGCATTTTCTTCTAAGGCACTGTGCTCAAAAACGTGTGACTTGAATACTTGAGCGACTTCTCTTCATAAATTGCTTGGGCTGCAATATAATTCCTTTTTAGGGAGGCAAGGAAATAACTTGATAAGAAGGAGTAGCAGAACTGACCGCCGCTGCAGGGTTGGTGAAGATCACCCAACTGTCTATCGGGAAAGCAACCACGTGATCAAGATTGTAGCCCTCTTGTCTCACACGAAACAGTGGCTGGATGGAAAACGTAGAAGTTCAAAAACTACTTCGATATCTCGAAAGACCGACTTTCGATAAACCTCGGCTTAGATAGTTGATATATTTATTTATGTGATCTTATAAACTGATCTTCTTAAGCTGACGCGAGGTTGATACAGATCTTCGTTATCGTTGTTTTTGATGTTATTGATCGATGGCTGACGTTTCGGCGACTTCGCCTTCCTCAGAGCCGTGATGTTACTTGCGGGACTCCGATATCCTGGTACTTCGATATCCTTGAAAACTAAGCCCACCCGCCTTTGAATCATTAAGGGAAGGCAGCTATTGTAGTTCCGACTGTCTTTTCCTTACCAATGTCTTTTATTGTGTTGCTTTATCCTGTAAATCGATGAAAAATCGGGAAGTGTCTGGTCCCCGGGTCAAATCCGACTATCTGATAGGTCTACCACTCTTCTTCATCGACACCTGGCTCTTTTTTTCGTGAGCTGCTTGTCGGAATACACTCATTTTAGTGAATGAAAGCAAAATTCGATGATCGACGGTTACACTTTTTTGTTGATCATTTATGAGATTCTTAAAATAACAAGAATTATTCAAATGGCAGTAGCGAAATCTGCTCATTATTAAAGTCGCCTATGTGAAGATTTCCTCTGAAAGACTTTGTTTTCGGAGTCTCACATACGCTCGACGGTTCCAATACCGCTTACTATTGCAGCGAAATGTATGTGGGATGCAAAATCCACTATCTTGTAAAACGCTGTTGGAGTAAAGGGTCCGAATTTTCAACGTACGTCAACGATCAAACCGGTTTCTTCAGAGAAAAAAATCATGAATATCATGGACTAGGGCGGACAGGTAAGGTTTTGTTAATTGTATTGCACAGGATTTGAAGCGCACCTGCACATGAAAACGGTTTGACAGGAATAATTTTAAAATCCTGGGCTGAGGTTATGATTATTGTTTGAGACGGAGTCCATAGTTCCTATCTATATCTATCTATCTCTGTGATCGAACTGAAGTCTTCGTGGACGATGGATGCGAGGAAACGAATAGAATGCAAGAAATGCTGGAATCGCCACATTAGGTGTGAATATGGGTTGTGTAAAATAAAATAAAGTATTAGGCATAAAGAGTAGCATATTAAAGGACAGCAAAAGGTGCTAGAAAATAATTCAATGAAGAAAAGAAATGGGTTGATAAGAATTAACGCAGCCCGATCTCTTCTATGTATAGGTGGAAGTAGACTCATGTGAAACTCCAGCTGGTTCCAACGAGAAAGATAATTGGTTACATTTGACTCATACTGGTTACGGTCCCACTACACGCATATCGCATATGTGTTTCATATAGTGAAATGTTCCAACCAGGTATTTAGACGTGGATTCGTCTGCTAGCGTTTACGGCATGAATATTTGATATACTAATTATACTATATACTAATTTGATAAACTAGGGCTGGATATGTTGTGTAGTTAGGAGGAAGTTATGTGGTTTGAGGTCTCAGTACTAACTCTGTTCTGCCATTCTATTTTTGGATATTAGATGCTTTGACAATTGCGTCATCTACTCAGTTTATCCATAGGTTTTTTAAAAATGTGGTCATTTTGTATGGAAAAGCTTGTATGTAATAGCATCCTTGTTGGTTGGATTTGTAGAAGCTTTTGCACACAGTGGCGCCAGTTATCGATGTGGCACCGTTATGAGACAAATTTTGGCTGGATTTTCTGGAATATTGCTTTTTCTACTTGCTGTTGTTTTTTGAACATTCGACTAGTTGATTTAATGTATTCACTGAAAAGCCGTCATCACGATGGGATTCTAAAGGGGTAACTGTTGTGAACTTTATGTCGACTCTTTTTTTCATAAAGCCATTCCCATTGGATGTTTAAATAAGTTGTAACTTCATTGTTTTGCGATTTTAGGTATTCCAGCCTAACAAATTCTCCATTTCCACGTTTCTAATTTGTTTTATGATGAAAAAAAAAACGCTGGTCATATATCTTCCACATACTGGCTGTTTTTTGGGAAGTTCACGGTACAAGATATGGATGGTGTTTACTATTGTGCTTCCATTGTTTTCATTCATCAACTTTTGATAACCTACGTTAGAAAGGCTGTCCTTTAGCGAGTTTATGACTGCTTCTACGTTCTGTTGTGATCATGATTTCTTTGAGGAATCTATAGTCATACTTGTTTTAAATAATAGTACAACTCTACCGTTCTGAATTATAGGGAGCTCATTAGTGCATATGGAGTTGATTTTCCAGTGCTGAATTCTTGTCAGCGTCGGCTTGGATAGTTATGTTCTATAATTGAGCACGGAATTTGTTATATATTATTATTATTGTTATATATTATATGATAGGATCCTCTGAACGGTTAACTGCATCATCGTCTCTGGGAGATGTTACTGGGTGTCCGGCTGCGATGTACACCAGAGGGATTCGTCCTCCTGGCAGAGTCCTCCAAGCTGAGAAAGAATCTGCCGTTTCTGTTTGGAAGCCTAGCTAAGAGTAAACCATTACCACCACCACAGTCCTAGATCAAACCAGTCGTATGGTGGCAAATCTCCCTCTAATCCACAAGGGTGCGACTGCCGGTGATGGTGATGGTCTGGAGAAGACTTTGGCTCTGCTAACCTCGGTACTCTAGGGAACCACAATGGCTAAACTTACAAAACTCCGAAAAAGCCGAAATTATGCTGGAGCCCGCACAACTAGTGAAGGCGAGTCATCCAGGGATCGAAGCAAGCATATAAGAGGAATAGATATTTAGCCTGTGTTCAGAGTGCAGTCGGCCGTCTTCCTTCTTTGTTTCTCTCTGGAGTTGGTACCTTCCTAGTTTAGAATATCAAAAAAATTTCGAACGAGAGATATGTTGGAGGATTTGTTAGCAAGTTCGTTGCTTACATGCAGTTGGTTTTCTACTGTAGTGAGATATGTTTATAGAGCGTTATCGGCTGGAATCACGTCGCCGTTGTTAATAACTGTACCACATCCGACACATCCTCAAGCGGAGCTGGTGTCTGCCCTTGGTGCTCTTCTTCCGCTCTACACACCTTTGAACGTTCGTGAAGAGGAAAAACCTGACAAGTTCCAGAAACTTGGATTATTACCAGTCAGTTTTATTGTAGCCTATATAAAGTGGCTCAGAACGGTTCATATTTCATAATTCTTGTACACAACCAGTTTATTTTTTTTTAAATCGAGTTTTCCTTAGTTGTAACAAACATCCTTATGGCGTGCGTTCTCAAGTTTTTTTTGAAGGAAACGATATTTTTTCTTTACAGATTGGGTATGTACATTTGCTAGAGCTAGTAGAAGCTTTTGAAGCTGCGTTTACTGTATGTCGTGATGTTGGAGAGACTGGACCAGAACGGATGTCACCTCCCAGAGTTGCTGATTATATAAAAGTGGGTGTACGATCACTGTTAAGTTACGAGTTAAGCTCAGAATGGAAAATGGAAGAAGAAAAGTGCTGAAAATTAGATTAAACGACATTTAGGTATTAGGGTTTTCGGTTACAAGTTTTCTGTAGACACTTAATTTTAGTCAGTGTTTCAAAATGGAAATGTCAAAGTGGAAGTGAATGAAAATCAAGAGTTGATAAAGGAAGAGTATCCATTGTTGGCTGCTGTGAATCGTTGTGCGAATACTGTTAAGGAACACCAGGTGAAATAATTTGGTTCGTTGCAAAGATTTTTAATACAAATGGGTGATCACATTGTTTAAAGAAGACATCATTGGAAGGAGATTGTCCTTTACATGTTGAAATTTCCAGGAAACATCTTGGGACAGGTTTTTTTGTCTGTATGAGACCTCCTATTTACCTTTCTTCTCTATTTCTACTTATAAAGTAGCGTATAGTGCTGGTAATCAAGAAATTATCGGGTATCTCTCCATTTCCATGTAGATACATATAGGTTGATCATTGAGAGTGTGTTAAACTTACTTACTTACTTGTGTACCTGAATGACCCGTCTTCACTGGTTGTGCGAGCCCTAGCATAATTTCCATTTTATCGGAGTTTTGCTGGTTTAGCCGTTGTGGTTCTCTGTAGTCCCGAGGACCGGCTGGCCAAAGTTTGCCCCAGGTTGTCACTACCATAGGTAGTCGTTGTCCCTGCGGATCGGAGGGAGACTTGCCACCATGCGGCTAGTTTGATACCAGTACGGTGGTGGTTCCTGGTATTGATTTACTCTCAGCTGGGCTTCCTAATAGAAACGCCTCACTCCTTACCAGTTGGGAGATTGGCCACGATGGAGCGTGTGGTAAACTAGTAGTTGAAACTTTTGGGTAATTACAGTGGATATTTAGGCACGCCTTATTCGTCTTGAGTACACTGGAGAAAGTGCGATCGAAAACACTTATTTTATGATTGGCAAGGGTGTAACCATTGACACTGGTTTGTTTGTGTTTAATTTCATAATGTTTACCTTCTCATTACTTGTCTTTAAACTAGTTAATGCTTCACGAGTTTTTAAAAATTAGTGCATCAAACTTCATTTCTGGCCTAATGTTGTTCCTCTTCATGTGGCTGCGATCTCAAAACTGGCGGGCACATGTGGGGTATGTGTCGCGATAAATATGGAAGTGCCATTGTTGCTGGATTTTTCAAGGCTTTAGACGTACTGAAGCCGAGAAACATCAAGGTGTGGATGTTTGTTTGCTTACCATTTATGCTAGTAAAATTCCCGTTGTCTTTACTCAACCGCATTGTCTTTCAGTCTTAGCAGAAGTGGGATTTAAGGTTCTGTGCAGTTTGTTCCCATAGAAACACCAATGATTCCTTACCAATTTTGAGACGCTGAAACCAAGCATGCATGCAAACTAATTGCAACGCTTAAGTTGTTTAGGTTCCCAGGTTTTGACTTTAGGCGAATTATTCTTACTGTTTTAGCAGAACTGTCGCTATTACCAATTGTTTTTTTTATGTACGATCGTTAATGTGGAGTATTGTGCGTTCTGTATTGATAGAGGGACGCACTGGTGTACCATGCCGGTGTTTTTATCCTCATAGACATTTCTCGTGCCAGTTCTGGGTCACGGAAGGATAGTGGGTGTTTTTAGCCCCTAGCAAGAGCTAAAACCAAGGACCGACCTTTGTGAATTGCAGGCAACTCTGTAAGCTACATTCGCTATTTCGTTACTACAATAAAGTGCTGGAGCGAAGTGTGATGAAATGTTAGCAAAGTCGCGAAGTAGTAATTCTGAGGAATTTTAGTTTTCGTTTGTGGTCGCTGATATTACGACGATGCTCTTAATCGTTTTATTACATTTTAAATATTTCAAGGAGTTATGGAATAGCTGCATTCCAGTGTGTAGTAGTTATAGCTAGTCTAAACATCGCAATTCAATGGTCGACGTGAGATATAAATGTCTCATCTACTTTTCGGTTGCTTCTTTTTGAGCGTAAACATTTTCTGCAGTCCTTTTATGTCGAGTTTATGACTCATGCTATGGGACAAGTAAGGTGTTTGATATAGCCGAAAAGTTAGGCTTGGCGCCGAATGTGCTAGAGGTTGTTCCGAGGTATACACTTAAGAATCATGTTAAGGGGTTTTAAATTATAACAAACATTAACTTACTAAACGTCTGTTTCGTCTTACCCTAAACGCTATAGTTTAGATAGAGTCGGTCTCCAGTACTATTTTTTTGCAGACAAACGCGCGTGTGACGCAGTGGTCGGAGGCGCTCTGCAACACACACGTGGGATTAGTCCGCGCTCCCGTGGCCCACCAAGCTTTCTATTCTTCCGGGGTTGACAAATTGGTAGCAGACTTGTCTGGGAGGATAGCAGCACTGGCTCGATACATCGGTAGGCCACCGCGAGTCATTGTGAAGCCCTTATTCAGTGGCCTCTAACGATACGCAATGAAGTCGAATGCATGGCGCATCCCTCAGGGTTTGATGAATGCCGCGAGAATCATCTTTTTTATTCTTTATTCTTGCAGACCAGAAGCTGCTCTATTTCACTGCAGCAGCGTTGCAGTAAATAATTACTTAGAATATGAACTCGTCACAAGGAAGGCTTTAATCACTATAGTTTTCGAAACTGTCAAAGTAACATAATGTTCATTATTTAATTAGGTCGTTGGTTACATGTGTATGGTCCGTAACAGCATCGGTTCCCATGCATACACCTGTGACGAGGTAATAACATCTCGAAGTGGTAAGCGCATTCACATATACAACACAGATGCCGAAGGACGACTCACTATGCTTGATCCCTTGACGAAAGCTAAAGAAGAGGTTTATTTTCTCAGAATTTTTTTCTATAGCCATAAAATTGACATCTGTGTTTCAAAAAAATTGGGTTAATATTGTCATGTTTACACAGTTTTTCCTTACTAATCCTGAGGAAGCGTGCGAGCTTCACTAGCTTCCACTTGACTGCTGCTTGTTGGGCAGGATGTTCTTTCTCTAGAGTTTTGATGGGGTGGATTTGGGCTTTCTCAATTGATCGCCACCTGCTATCCGGCGAGCATGTCGGTGGAAAAGTATTCGTGGCACTGATTCAGTCTTAACTGGGCTTCGGAATGCAGATGTGTTTCTTAGCTTGGGAGACCCTGTGGCGATGTTAGCCGTGCGTCGCAGTTCGAAACCTAGTAATGTCGTCAACCACTATGAGGCAGAAAATCATTCAGAGAGGGAAAATATGTGATAAAATTCTCGTTTTACCTTTGTTGCTACCAATATTGTATTTTTAGGCTCTGGAAGAAATTAATCCACATATACTAACAATCGCAACTCTAACAGGGCACGAAGTGATGACATATGGTTACTATGCTACTTTAATGGATAACGGTATATTATTTATTACAATGAACAAATCAAATAGTGACTTTATTACGGCGTAATTACGGTAGTTATTATTTTATTTTATATTATGGTATTATTCCAAAATTAAATAATAGTTGTCAGAATGGCGAACACTTTGTCTTCACGGGCAGAGCACACCTTTAATTTCTTTACACTTTTTTTTGCATATGGTATCGGTCATAAGTGGTGGTAAATATGTGTGAAATTTATTATGGACCCGAATTTCTTGTGAAGGACGTGGGGCCTCTTATGAAAGTGTTTTACTGTGTTTCAGTAATGTTATGATTAATTGTTTGACACGCGGTAAAAGCTCAGCGGATCTTCTCCCTTATCCCTCTTTCTTCTGGAATTCTTTGTAAAGAAGTTTGATTGTCGGTTTTTCTGCTCCTATTATCTCGTCTCGCTGATGGCTGTTGTCCACGAGTCGTCTTTATCACACATCACATGTATGTCCATCTGATTTTTGATGTGTTGTTGTACACGGCAACATTTCTGATCATTGATCATCAACCTAGTTTAACAATTCGGACTCCTTTTCCTCTCTTGCTTGAGGATATGCGTAAAATCATCCTCTAATCTATGTACTGGATAACGCAGTGGTGTTTCATTTTGCTTAGGTAGTGTTGTTGTTTCCTAGGTGTATGTGAAAGCAGAAGCAGTCGTAGTGTTGAAAAGATGGGTACTCAATTTTGTCATCTCCACTACACTCTCGATTCTGTCTTAATCTTTAGAAGCCCACTGTTTTTTTAAAGTTAGCTCAGTTTTTTTTAAAGTTTTTAAAGTTAGTCAAAGATTTCATCGTGGTAATTTTGACGGTGAATGATGCATCAGGGACAAATCCATTTTTCGACAAGATCTCTTTATTGAGGTTTAACTAAGGGCGGATACCTCCGCTTTAGTTTCTTGTGGCTATCTCAAAATTGGTTAGCTTTTATTCTTCCTGAATAGTTCCTTTTGCTATGGAGATATTATCATCGGTAAATCAACATGGTATAGCTGCCGGGCGACTTTAACTTCAGTAGTATCCCAATAATGGCTGTAGATAATTTTGTGACATGTTGTCAACTTGTCGAACTCTTCTGTTTACTAAGATCGACTTTCTACTAACCTAGGCATTCATCAATATTTCGCAGTTTTCTTGATAATCATATATGAGGTTTTTACGGAACTCTTTATTCACAAAAGCTGATGTTTCGTACGATTTCACAATCTTCAAGGCCTGGAAAAGTGAAGTTGAGTGCAATATAGTCAGCGAAACACCTCCATAATACCCTATAGAAAAACGACGTGAAACCTATACTTCAATTGCATTGGAAACAAAATAGCTTCTTTGCGTGCTTGCCGCTTTCTGCAAGGCTTCTACTGAGTATCCCACTTGGTGATTAACTTCATGAAATTCACATGAATGCTTAATTGCTTTTTTGAACTAAAATGTCAGTCCTAAGTACTGTGTGAGATCACTTATTACATCGAGGCATTCCTCTCTGCGGCCCATTTTTGGATTCTTGGAATTTATTCAGACTTTGAAGGTTTCACGCAGTGATGTTTTGGATTCCTATTCAAGACTAGTGGCTTTGCTTCATAATTTTCGCCGTCATGTATCTGTGTCCTATGCGAGCCTAGTGGAGTATTTAGTTTAGTTCCACGCTTACAGGCCGGATGTTCTTTTATACGGATGCAATGGTCGACTTGTTTAGCCAACATATTCATCCTCGCACACTTTACAAGAGATTTGGTACGCTGTACACGAACTCATGCAATCACCATCGCTCCCGTTAGGGTTTTGCGTTGTAAATAGAAGGTCATATAGGCGGCTGCGAGCTAGCTGACGTCTAAGAGTGCTTCGTTGTATTTCAATTCCTGTTACCGATTTCTCTAAACTCGCTCTTTCTAAGTGACGTTTTATAGATCTGCTTATTTCGCTTAAAATGAAGCGCAGCATGAGTGAAACCTTATTTTTTTGCTTTTGCTTGTTTAGGGGTGTCGTTTTTCCTCAAAACCTATTCCGGGGAACTACTACCATGTTGTAGCCACTAGAAATAGGTTTTCTTCGCGCCGAACTCCAAGATTCCTCCTACTTCCTTTCTGTGCAGATATTAGTGGCTGTGTTGTTTTACTTTCGATACGGTGGTGTAGCCATTTTCGGGTGGTTAATTTGAACGTTGAAAAATGGAAACCAATCTTTCATCGGTTTCTCCTAGTTGAAACTTATGTGCTTTGAGTTACAGTTTTTTTATATGAAATGCTGCGATATTTGCAAAATTCAGGACCGCAGGTGTATGCAGTGGGGAACCAACACGCGCTGTTGTCCTTACCGGGGAGCAGCGCACTTCACCACCACACCATCCGGACCCTTCGTCTTGCCTGTCTCTCAGCTAGTTCTATCGATCTTTTTACCATCAGCAATCACCCGTCAGTTTTTTTTATTTTTATGTAACCCATCTTCACGTCTACTGTGAGGATCCCAGCACTTCTCGCATTCGATTCGTTTCCTCGCATCCATTGTCTACGAAGATCTTCCAACTTTTACGTGTGGATTTGGTTGCTGCTTGAGGGTTTTCATTTCATCTTGATGAATATCGTAGAATGCTGGTCAAGCAATTCTCCCTGAAGTCCTGAGATAACCGGGCTGGAGCGTTCCTAGTTGGTTTGCACAGAATGATTTTTTATTACATTGTTCGGCTGTTTAGGTCGCATGTTGTTACAGAGCTTCTATTCTGAATAGAGAGTCCAAGTGAGCATAATTCAAATTTTGCCAGTTTTAATAAAGTTAAAATCAGGCGGAAAAGGCTTTATAACAACTTGTGTAAGCTAAATAATCCCAAAAGATGTTGATTATTGATACTGAGATTGAGCAAAATTTAGTTTACAAACGTGCTTGGAAGATTTCGTTTCGTCTTCAGTTTTTTTTAAAGGCTAAAATTTGACGAGAATTATATTCTGTTTAAAGCGGTTGAGTAAGATCTCTTTGAAGTTTTCAAAGTCTCCTCAATAAGTCTGTGAAGTCTCCAGCTTCACAGCTACTCATCCGATCAGAGAATTATTAGTAGTTATTAAAAAAACGATCTTAGTCGCGAATGGGTAAAAAACATATGCTTCAACGATTCGACGAGGGCGTTTCATGTTGTGCCACTAGAAACGTCCAAATAAGCAACAGCAGAAAATCCTAGGACCGATTTTCTTCTATTCTCGGCATGGTTCAATAATACAGTGTTTTCTTATAGTAAATATCAGGTTGTTAGCAGTAAAATTTATTCTGTACAATACTGGCTGACGTTTCGGAGGTTTTGCCTTCTAAGCCTGGAGCAGTTCCTTTGGCACGTAATCCACTCTGTCGAACACTTTCACAACCTCAGCATATACAACTTTATATATATATATATATATATATATATATATATATATAAAGTTGTATATGCTGAGGTCTTAATCACTTACCGTTTTGTTCTTTGTTACTTTTAAGCCTTCCGGTTATTTGTTGAAGACCAGCCGCACAAAGTTTTACATGGGCGAGGAGTGCTTCTAGCTCAGGTGTTAAAAAACTAGAGTCATTCTACTAGAAGTAATTTACTATTAATTTAACCCTGCTTTTCCATTTTTTTTTTTCGAAGAACGATAGTTCTTTACGATCATGGTGGATGTGTTAGAAGGAAGAAAATTTCAAGTAACCGTTTACCACAATGGAGATCTAGTCGTCAAGAAGGAATATCAACATCCTTTGTTGATTTTTTTAATAGTCCATTTCCAAGTTTCTGTATATATTTATAAGTGCTGCATTCGTTTTACAGGACCTGCAAGGAAAAGTGGATGGGCGCGTAGGATTCAAGATATTGGTGACCTCTATGGTCAACCAATTGAAATCAGCCGACTACAGCCAGAGGTTAGTGTCGTCGAGAAAGCAGTGGACGAACATTCTCTACAATGATTGCAGGATTTTGTCTTTCACAAGGCGGAATGCGAGCAAGCACATCTTCGACAAGGAAACACGAAACCATCAACACAAACGATGCGAGGTCATCAATCTCCAGGCGCTTTCCTTATTATGGTAATTTGACTACATTGTATCTTGAGCTATAAAATAAAAAGTTGTGAGATGGTCACTGATAAAAAGAACCTCTCGGCGTTGGTCATTCTCTAAGAGATGCGCTATACATTCAACTTCATTAAGCATCGTTTAGAGGTGATTGAATGCATATCTATCCTCCCAGAGAAGTCTGATACCAATTACCGACCCGGATGGATAGAAGGTTTGGTGGGCCATGGGCGCGCGGATCGATCCCATGTGCATTGTACTGCTCCGACCACTTCATCACACGCGCCACCATGGTCACTGATAAGAAATGAAAAACGAAGTGTGGAGAGTAATTTATAGGTCGGAAACAATTGTTTTCACTATATCTCTGGGATAAACTGCTAACCGCTTTCTCCTTGCTTTCCTATCTTCAAAATTTCATATTTTGCGCACGGAATAATGTTGCTGGCTAATAAGTTTAATATCCTATAAGCTAACTCTTAAAACATTGACCTTGACCTGCGGCATTTTGATTCACATTTTTTAAAGTATTGGCGGTAAATAAGAGTAAAGCTTCGGTATAAATATTTCATCTGTCAAGCATGAAATATCAATTTAACACATTCATTTTAGGGATCCAGACTAGATGAGCATGGTTGCGATAGTGAACACCCATTGATGTTCACTCACATAGATATGGGCAGTGCACCAGGCGAGCATCCAGAGACAAGTTTCCCAAATCCACTAGTCACCTTAATGGCTGGGTATGTGTGAACAGTATTCTCCTCTTCTATGTGAGCCGGTATCGTAAATGTTTTGGACGCGGACACATTTTTTTAGTCGCAGATATTTCTAGCCACTGCGAATTGTTTCTATTGTGATTTCCGTTATGGCTCACATTGATACCTGGTCATAAGACATTGATACGTACACGTACTCCTTTTGATACTTAGAAGGCCCGTCTTCACTGATGGTGCCTACCCAGTATATTTTTCGTTTTTCGGAATTGTTCTGGTTTAGCCACTGTGGTTCCCTGGAGTCCCGAGGTCAGCCTGGCCAAAGTCTGCCTCAGATCTTCACCTTCACAGGTAGTCGCCACCTTTGTGGATCAAAGGGAAATTTGCCACTATGCGACCAGTTTGATACCAGTACGGTTGTGGATCCAGGTATTGGTTTACTCTTGGCCTGGACTTCCTAATAGAGTACCCGGACTCCTCAGCTTGGGAGACTCAACCGCTATGAGGCAGTAAAGCGTTGGGTGGAACATATTGACAGCTATTTTAAATTAAAGGATTATTTGTCTTGACATTGGCTATGGAATTAGTGCCTGCAGTCCTTAGAGGAGTCATTGATGTGTTATTTGGTTGTAACTACAGTGAACAGAGTTGTTCTTCAATCGAGATAAAATCCTGTGCAGTTCCAAATTCTCTTGCGAGTTGTAGAATAACAATACCAACTTCCTTCAAACGGTTTACCGCTTCATTGTGGTTGGAAGGTGTTTCTAGACGTCGGGCTGCGATGTACAGCGGGAGATTTATATCCGGGCAGGGTCTCCCAAGCTAAGGAGTCTGGCGTTTCCTTCAGAAAGCCGAACGAAGAGTAAACCAATACCGGAATCCACTACAGCCCTGGTAGCAAACTAATCGCATGGTGAAAAATCTGTCTCTGATCCATAAGAGCTATGGTTGACTGTGGTGGTGACGATCTGGGGCAGGCTTTATCCTGGCTGAACTTGGGGCTCCAGGGAACGAGAATGGCTAAACTAGCAGAACTCCGAGAAATGGAGAGTGTGCTGGGAGCCGCACAACCAATGAAGACTGGCCGTCCAAGTATCCAGTTAAGTAATGCGAACTTTCGTTTGATAAGAAATATTGGAGCTCATACGGCACGTTTATAGTTTCAAGTATAAATAAAGTGAGATTGTTGGACCACTTTTAGCTTGATACTCCCGAAGGACCAAAGATGAAGAAGCACTCTACTCTGCTGCGTGATTACTTCAAGTCATCTGTATTGCCTTAGATTGTTCGTTTTCTTTTATTTTCAGTTGATTATGTGTTATAATAATTTTGGGAATTTTTATAGAATCTGTTAACATTTCCGATTTGTGGGCTTACAGACTTTCAAATTATGCTTTATTTTTTCAACTTAGTACTTGAACATGGTATTTCTTACTTCTCACTGGGCACAATACACTGTATAGCACCTCACTCTCAATTACTTAGTAAAATATGAATGTAAATCATACAGGTATAGTACTCAATTTCACCTGTTCATTAATTTGCAGAAAGTATGTTGTAGAATTTGGATGTGATATTACCTGTGAAGGTTATACCTAAAACATGCCATTCGGTGAATTCTTCTCATTGAAACGTGTGCTATTTGCAGTTCTGCGTTTTTCGCCGTGTCTACATAGCTTGGGTAACAAACTCATATTGGCCTGACTTTTTTATGTAGGGTAATCAAAAGGAAGTAACATTTTATTAAGAAGAGCTCTGTAGTTTATAAAATACATACGAGACACAAACGATTACTTTACTAGATTTTGTTTCAGAACAGGTGGATAGGTTGCCATTTCTTCTGGTTAGGAGATATTTCAAAATCTACAGATTTGTTGATGGTGAAAGTGAAATCAACTGCTATGATGGAGAATAACAAAAGGATATACGTATATATATATATATATATATATATATATATATATATATGATGTATTTTGCTGTTTTCTAATTTATAACGACCTCGGTTAGTGTCCTGTTGTTTCTCGCAAGTTCATTAGTATTTCGAATGAAACAGAGTTCATTGGTAATATCTCTTTGATTAATACGCAGTTTAGTGTATTACATACAATTACCTTTGTCCATACTGAGGTGCGTGTAGCGCAGCGGTCGGAGGCGGCCTGCAATACACATGGGATTGATACGCGCGCCGCAGGCTCGTCAAACCCTTCATCCTTCTGTGGTGGTCAAATTGGTACAAGAATTTTCTAGGAGCATAGCATCACTAAGTCAATACATCAGTAGGCGACCACGAATTATTGTGAAGGCCAGGTATGCATGCAATCATCTCCAACGGTGCTTAATGAAGTTGAATGATTGGCTCATCCGTCAGGGATTGACCTACGCCGAGAGCTTATTATCTATACTATTTCGATTCGGCTACTGCATCTCTTGTGGTTCGCTCAACGGACTACTCGTAATTTTTCGTCAGCTGCAGTCTTTTTGGTTTTCTTAGTAGTAAGGAGTCCTTCCTCGGTAAATAGAGGAGTTGAGGGGTTTTGAACATGACAGGACTGTAGAAGAGACTTTGTTTTATCGTTGTATGAGATGTGTATGGTATTATTTACTATATGATGGTGTGGTCCAAATTGCAAATACATTGCTGTTAGTATTTGGAAGTTTGTTCTAGTTTATGAAGGAAGTCTATTTCCGTATTTTTCATACCACCACATTCAATAAAATAGCCCTATGCCTTATCATAGGGATTGAAATGAAGTAGCAGTTAATTTTTAATCAAATTACCGCTCAATAAACTCCTCGTGATAAAGGTTTTTGTAGACCACTAAGTGTGGAGAGTGACTTTTCTCACTCTACTGTTTTAATCTGCTTTCGATTAGCTATCGCATGATTGTACATACACTGGGAAAAAAGCTGGAACCATTCGAATTCGAGTCAAATGTGGACATTAGAGGGTCCGCACTTAGACTAGTGGGTTGATACAGGATCTATGCCCACTCATTGTTTAGCAGTAGAGTGCTTTGTCTCATTTACTTCTACTATCAGGAAACTTTCCAGCTTTCCTCTGAATGACATCTTTCGGCAGTGTTGACGTCTTTGTATCCTGTCTTTTGCAAGTACCTTGTTACAGTTATCTATTTCCAGACCAGTGTTGACGTTTGTAGTGTCGGGCTTCATATCGTCCGTTCGTGTTTGCTCTTCGGTGTACTCATGCCTGTATTTGATAACGTAGTTATCGCTATATCACTTTGCTATTCCGACGGCTGTTTGTTGCTGTGAATTAGCGACGACGTGATTGTATCCTCACATTTCTCCAGAATTGATCGGCACCGAAAATCTGAAAAGTTGTCCTTACGTACTTCGCAAAGCAACAAGTATCGGAAGGGCGTCCATAGAACTGGTCGACGGGAAACCGTTAATCTCCATCCTTTTATACACCTCATAGAAGGTTGCAGAATTCACATAAATCAAAGGTTAATGATATTCTTGCAAGAGAGGAATGTATCTCTTATACGTATACCCATCCTTTATGGGATAGTATAGAGGTGAGTGGACTTAGTTGCCGAATAAATCGTAGATGACCTTATACACTACCTTTCTGTTACTGTTCCGACCAGACGTGGGATGCTGATAATCTTCCTCTTCTAATTAGGGGAGTTTCGGTAGATGTCGGAAACGCATTTTATCAACCCTGTGAGCTTCAACCAGTATTGCTGCTTTTCTTCTACTGTTTCTTCACACAGCTTCATGAGATCAGATGTGGCTTAAGTGCTACTCGTTGGGCTTCATACAGCATATCAGCTCGGAGATTTCGTAAGGAAACCGTCATGTATTGGCTTTGAAATTCTAACTTTTCTTCGGATTGTGTAAAGTTGAATAAGAAGATCGTAATCCTGTTCGCTTTAGGTGTAAACCATACATAATTAGAAGTGACCCAGTAAGGTAAAAGATGTCAGTTTGCGGAGATTCTGAGGTTTCGTTTACGGAACTTCATGGTTTGCCTATTGTCTGTGAACGAACTGGGTTAAAATCGATCCGATGGTAGACCTTCGGCAACACAACGACCTTGATTAGGCAATTAGTGAATTAGTGATTAGTGACGATAATGAAACTTTTTCTTTATGTTGTTACTCTTTACTAATTCGCTCACCGTTAGGTAATGGAAGGCTTCTAGAGCTTCTAGGATAATGGGTTACCAAGGGTTTTTTGGTCGCAACAATGAACTCAGTTAGCCTCTCACTGTGTCCATTGCATTCTAGCCGATGAAAAGTCATATGGTCATCCTGACACAGTCACTAGAAGTCGCGTCGTTGAAGTCACCGGTTAACGCTTTAGAAGATATCATATTACCTGGATGCTTGAACGGCCCGTCGTCAGTGTTTATGCTGACCCTATCATAATCTCTGTTGTTCAGAGTTTTGGTGGTTTAGCCACTGTATTTCCTTGGAGTAGCGAGGTAAGCCAAGCCAAAGCCTTCTCCAGGTCGTCACCACCACAGATAGTCGCCGCCGTTGTGGATCAGAGGGAGATTTGCCACCATGCGACCAGTTTGGTGCCAGGTCGGTGGTGGATCCTGGTATTCGATATCATAGTTCCTGTTGAAATTTCTTGTGTAGTTTACTTCGACTTTAAATTTACTGTAAAATAGCGTTGAGGTTTAAGCAACGAATGCTTAAATGTTGCATTGGTCTACGTCTTTTCAGTCATCAACTTCCATTAGGATAATTGTTCAAAGAGGTTTGTGCTTTTGTCCTGAGCTGATGTTCAAAAAGTAACCAGTCCACAGTTTTCTTGAATATATCATGTTTAAGAGGGGTATTTTCTTCTCTATTACCCCAAAACGCAGTTAATATGAAGTTTCCTCTCTTTTTGACCAGTCCGATAACGTTGTGGTTGTTTTTTCATTTTTGGCCAGGGATTAGACATCTGAGAAGGAACCTGAGATTTTAGGAACCTTTCCTTACTCGTTCGATAGAACGGTGTCGTATCAGAAGCACTTTCGAGATCAGGACTACGAGGCGCTTTGTTTTTTTCCTATTT